TTTTTTTTTCCATTTGTACAGGGGTAACACACTGTATTAAATATGTAAGGTCTTATCTACATGGGTTTGATTACAGAAACTAATAAAGTATTCTCTAAATAATGAAAAAAAACAAAAAAGAACTCAAATATTAGTCTTTAAAAATGTTATAACACACAATTAGATAGAAACACAGAGATTCCTGTAATAATCAGAAGGGACAGCTTTGTTTCTCAAGCCTTCACAAGTATTTCACCAGTTTAAATTTACCCACAGTTTCTTTGAAGAAAAGAAGGGTAACTTCTTCACATTCAATGTGGAGACTCTGAAACCCTCTGGAGGACCAACTCTGAATCGCCAATGACTTAAGTGTGCTAAAGATGTATGGATGAACATATATGAAAGCTTACAAGGAATGTTTAAAGACTAAGAAAGAAAAGGAATATCACACATTGTAAAGTGAGGCTAGGGCTATTTGGATGATATTGAGGTAAAAGTTTTTTGTGCATTCATTCAGGCTCCTATACTGGGAAGGAACCAAAGGCGAAATGGCACAATCAGACTGTTGGAACTGACTTTGTCCTCCTGGGACTGTTCTACCATATCCAAGCCCCCAAACTTCTCTTCACTTTTGTCTTCCTGGTCTTCCTCATGGCCCTTGTTGGTAATATTGTGATGCTGATTCTCATTTGGTTGGATGCTCGACTTCACACTCCCATGTACTTCCTACTGAGTCAACTTTCCTTCATGGACCTTTTATATATCTCCACTTTTGTCCCAAAGATAGCCATTGACTTCTTCTCTGGGAGAAACACCATTTCATTTGTTGACTGTGGAATTCAGATGTTCCTCTTCACTGCTCTTGTGGGAGCGGAGTGCCTTCTCCTGGCTGTCATGGCTTATGACCGCTATGTGGCAATTTGCCATCCACTTCATTACTCAATTCTAATGAGACCTACAGTCTATCATTTCATGGCATTTGGAACCTGGCTGAGTGCACTGCTGAATGCATTGATCCATGTTATATATACTCTGAATCTTCCCTACTGTGCCTCAAAGGAAATACACCATTTCTTTTGTGAGATTCCAGCTCTCCTGAAACTTGTTTGTGCTGACACCTCTGTATATGAGAATGGCATTTTTTTCAGTGGTGTTGTGTTCTTCCTCATTCCAATATCAGCTATAATGATCTCCTATGGAAAGATCTTATCAACTGTTTTGGGATTAAGATCTAATTCAGGGATGAAAAAGGCTTTAGCTACCTGTTCTTCCCATATGATTGTAGTGTCTCTTTTTTATGGAACAGCCATCATGAAGTACTTCCTGCCCAAATCTTATCACACTGCTGAGAAGGATGAAGTGCTTTCTATCTTCTACACTATCCTCACACCCATGCTTAACCCCCTTATTTATAGTCTTCGAAACAAAGAGGTGGCTAGTGCCCTGAGCAAAGTTCTAGGTGGTTAAACAATCTTAAGAACTAACAAATATTGAATAAGAAAAAAGAATGAAAAGAGTCTTTATTTCATAAGTTTATTACCACACTAAACATAAACCAAACAAACTATTACTTCTGGTGACCACCTCATAACCAAATCATTTCACTCTAGTTGTTAACAGACTCCCTATACGTCAGAGTGCCTTCTTCCTGACCCTCATCTATATTAACCAAACTGTAAATGAGAATGTTCTAAATCAAGAGATATCAAATAATCATTATAAATTATAGTACTTTATATTACACAAAAGTAAAAAATGTATATTATCATTCTACTCTTATACAGATTTATCTGGAAAATTGGATAGTACATCACTGTGGTTTGGAATCGATTCAAAGAAGATGATTTTGGTTTTCCAGTTGTTTTTGGTCTTTTGATTTTGCAGGACTGAGTGTCCTAAATTTCAAAGTGTTGTTAGCTGTCATCAAGTCAGCTTTAACTCTTAGTGACCCAACATATAATAGATGACACTCTCCGATCTTGGATCTTCTGCACAAGCATACTGGCATTTTTGCTTTTTAGCAGAGAAAAGAGAGATGCTTGACCAAAGAATTTTCTATTATATTTGGCATTTGATTCCTTGACATCTATTCTATGGGCATTGATAAATGCATCCAAAAAAAGTGAAATTCTTGGAAACATACTTTTCTATGTTTATAACCATGTTGCTTATTGAAATTGTAAGAATTTTGTTAATGTTGAGATTTATTCCATGTTACTGTTGATGTTAAGAGCCATTTAGTTGAGTGTGACTCATTACGGCCCTATGAACAACAGATTAAAACCATGTCCCATTCTGTGCTCTGACATGTTTGAGCCTATTGCTGCAGTCACTGTGTCAATTCATCTCATTGAGGATTTTTCTCTAATTGATCCTCCACCTTTCCAAGTTTAATGTCCATTTCCAAGGAATAGCCTCTCCTAACAACATGGTCAAAGTATATGAAATGAAGCTTCATCACCCTTGCCTTCAAGCAACACTCTGGTATCATGGACTTTTGGAAGTCCATTGGCTATCCAGAATTCTCCCACAACATAACCCAATGCCATTGATTCATATCCTGTCATATTTATTCATTTTCAAGCTCTCAGATGCATAGCAGATGATTTTAAAGACTATGGCATTAATTAAGTTCATCTTAGTCTTTAAACTGACATCATTTTCCTTCAGGACTTTGGAAAGGTCTCTGACAGCAGCCTTTTCCAGTGCCGTGTGTGTCCAGATATTTTTACTCTTGGCACCAATGGTGTTGTCTATGGATCCAAGCAAGATTAAATTGTTGTTAGTCTCAATCTGCTCTCCATCGATCATGATGTTGCACAAGTCATGAGGATTTTGTTTTCTTCATGTTGAAATGTAATCTATACTGAGCACTAAAGTACATGATCTCCTCTAAAGCAAGTGTCTCAAGACTCCTCACGTAAATCAAGTAATGTGTCATTTACATGATATAGGTTGTTGATGAGTCCTCATCCAATCCTAATGCCATACTCTTCCTCATAAAGAACAGTTTCTTGAATAATTTTCTCAGCATATAAATTTAATAGGTTTTGGAGAAAGAATACAGCCCTAATGCCACCTTTCCCCATCCCAAGTCGTGTAGTTGCTCTGTTCAGACAACAGCTTCTTGGTCTAGGTATATGTTTCATATAACTATGAAGTGTTCTATAATTTCTATTCTTTTGCAAAGTTAGCCATAGTTTGTTATGACTCATATAGTCAAATGCCTTTGCATTGTCATCAACACACAAATGTACATTCCTTTGCCTTCAAATGTGATCCATCTGATATCATCACTTGGTGCTATGGCCACTTTTAAACCCAGCGTGAACTTGTGGCAGTTGTTGGTAAATGTACGATTCTAGCCATTTTCGGCTTATGTTTTGCAATATTTTTCTTGACTGTGATATTAATAATACTGTCTGGCACTTAACAACAATAACAACAACAGATAGAGAGCTCTGTTGGCCTAGTAGACAGAAAGTTATCCTACCAAGCCCAAGGTGGGTCATTTTAATCTGAGGCACTCAGGCCTGGTTTAAATTGTTTCTTGTCAAACATTCTTCTAAGTGATATAACACCAGTCTGTGCATTTTTGTGCAGAGGTAACTTGTGGCTGCTGTGATGCTAAACACTGTGACATTGATTTGCCAAATGTAATAATAGTTACTCATGGTGGACAGTGTTTGGTGGAGCTTTCTGATTAAATCAAGTATGAAAGGAGGAGTAGCATCCATTTCTGAAATGGCTTGCCTCCAGACACTCTATTATCTGTGTTCACAGCTTTCGTTCATAGGGTTGTAGTGAGTTGTCTACCACTCAATGGCACTTAACAACAACAACAACAATTTACACCTTCTATGGCCTCACTTTTCTTGGGAATGAAAACAAATATGAATATTTTCTAGTCAATTGGCAAGGTACCTGTTTCCCAATTTTTCTGGTACAAATAGGTGAGCACATCCAGGGTACACCTGTTAGTTGTTCGTTTTGGTTTTTTATTTTTATTATTAGTTTATTTACAAAATTCAAATACATTGCTTTTCAGACTAGATTCTTCCAATTTCCCCTGTTAGTTGTTCATTAACGTTGTTAACTCCAACTCATATAGTGACCCTGTGTACAATAGCTCTGAACTCGGCTCTATCATGAACCAATTTCATTGTTTCTGACACACTTATTCTCATTGCCCCAAGTACTAAGTCAATCCATATCACCTAGGGTATTGCTTGCTTGTATGTCCTTCTACTCTTCCAAGCATGATATCTCTCCCCAAGGACTGGTTTTGCAACATGACCAAAGTATGTCAGACAGAGCTTCAGCATCCTTGCCTCCAAAGAGCAGCCTGGTTTCACCCTCTCCATGACAGACACGTTTGTTCTCTTAGCAGTCCATGATATTCTCAATATTCTCCAGCACCACAGCTTAAAGATTTACCCAATGTAATTAACATTTTTATTTCATAGCTGCTTGTGGACCTGAGCAAACTAAAGCTGTTAACAATCTCAATCTCTTCACTGTCTGTCATGATGCTGACAATTGGTCCAGTCTTTGTTTTCTTGATGTTGAGCATCAGTCCAGATTGAAGGTTGCAATTCTTGACCTTCTGCAACAAATGCCTCAAGTACTCCTGAGTTTTGGCAAGTAAAATTGTGTAATCTGCATAACACAGGTTCTTAATGAGTCTTTCTCCAATCCTGATGCCATAATACTCCTTATAGGGCCCAGTCTGGATGATCTGTTCTGCATGAAGATGTATGTGGTAGAATCCATTCCTGGTGTACACCTTTCCACATTTTGACCCATATGGTGTTTCAGTGTTTTGTTCTGATGACTGTCTGCTGGTCTAAGCATAGGTTTTGCACGAGCACAATTGAGTGTTCTTGGTTTCCCGTTCTTCTCAGAGTTAGGTCACAATAGTTTATTGGGATCCGTACAGTCAAATTCCTTTGCATAGTTAATGAAACACAGATAGACATTCCTCTGGTACCTGCTGCTTTAAGCTAAAATACATCTTACATTGGCTATAATGTGGCTGGTACCAAGATCTCTTCTAAACCAAGCATGCACATCTGGCAACTAGTTCTCTATGCATGTGCTGTTTCAGTTATTTTTGGATAATTTTTAGCACTATCATGCTTGCATGTGATATTAATGATGTTGTTAGGTAATTTCCACAATCTGTCATTGTTGTTGTTATGTGCTATCAGGTCATCAGTGACTCATAGCAACCCTAAGCCCTGCTCTATCACTTGCCAATATTATTGTCTCTGGCACACTTATCCCCATTATCCCAGAGACAGAATTAATCCATCTAATCAAGTGTTCTTCCTCTCCTGTGCTGTCCCTCCACCCTCCCAAGCATGACATCTCTTTCCAATGACTGATCCCACCTTGCCACATGTCCAAAATATGCCATATAAAACTTCAGAATCCTTGCCTCCAAATAGCAATGTTGCTTCACCCACTGCAGGATGATCTTGTTCATTCTCCTAGCAGTCCATGCTATATTCAGTAATCTTCTCTAGCACCAGAGCTCAAAGGCACCATCTCTTCTTCTATCATCTCTAGTCATTGTCCAGCTATCTAATGCATAGCAAGTGATTGCAAAGACCATGGACGGTATCAGGCGCACCTTTGTTTCCAGACTGACATCATTAATTGTCAGTACTTTGGAGAGGTCTTTGACAGTAGATTTTCAAATGCAATTTGCCATTTCATTTTCTGGCCGCTGGTACCAAGAGTGTTGATTGTAGAGCCATGCAAACTGAAGCTGTCAACAATCTCAATCTCTTCACCATCTATCATGATGCTGTCAATCAGCCCAGTGGTGAGAATTCTTTGTTTTCTGGATGTTGAGTTTCACTTGTATTGAAGGCTGCACCCTCTCTAACAAGTGCTTCAGGTCCTCCTCAGTTTCAACAAGCAAAGTTGTGTAATCTGCATAATGCAGATTGTTGATGAGTCTACCTCCAATCCTTGGCCACATTACTCCTCACAGAGCCCAGCCTCTAAGATAATCTGTTCCACATATAGATTGAATTGCTGGAGAAGCTCAATATCAGCTGTGAAACCTAGGCCAGGTACTGATTGTGGAATAGATCACCTACTATTAATATGCAAGTTTAAGCCAAAGATGAGGAAAATTTAATCAAGTCAATAGGAATAAAAATTTGACATTGTGTCTATCCCATATGCATTTCAAAACCATCTCAGGAAGAGGTTTAAGGCCTTGGAAATTAATGAGTGGAGACCGAATGAGCTGTGGGAGGATAACAATAATAACACCCAGAAAGAATGCAAATGGTCAT